CATAATCTATGTGGCATTATTCAAAATTTAACTTCAAAAGGTTACAAACTTCTAGTTATAAGATGGATAAGTTATGAAGATCTAATGCACAGCATAATGACTACAGTTAACAATACCATACTATGCACTTGAGATTTCCTAAGGGATTAGATCTTAAACGTTCTCACCAGAGGGGGAAAAAAAAAGATAACTGAAGTGTTGGATGTGTTAATTCAGTTGGTTGGGGTAATCATTTCACAACATATATACATATCATCACACTGTATACTTAAAATATATTGATTTGCAATTTATAATATACACATAATTTTGTCAATTTTACTTCATAAAAATGTAATTTCATAAAAAATGTATACCATGGAATGCTTAGGGGATTATATATTTGTTTAATGACGCTGATTTCAGTATTAGAATAATTGTTTTTTACTTGTTTGTAACAATTAGATTGGCACGAGATTTATTATATAAAATTCACTCTGCAGATGCCTTTTGTTATTTATTTGCATAAATTAAATTCAATTTCTGTTTATGACCCTTGTTCTACAAAAGTAAAATCAAAATTTAAATATGCCTTCTTTTATGTCCAAAAAATGAAGAAAGAACTCTCAATACAAGCCTCTTAAAACTTAAGAAATCTGCCTGAACTCCTGAACCTTTAAAAAAAAACTATTTTGAATTACAAAGAAACAGATATTTTAAGTTTTAACTTAGTACAACATAAAGGCAGAAGAATGCATAATTAATTACACGAACAAATGATTGCATTTTTCTCATCTGTTACAGACAGATGAGAGAGACCACAATCCCAGATAAATCAAGATATTAACCTTTAAAAAACATATTAACACCAAATTCTTGGCACAGATCTTTCTCAAAAAAAATTGAACTTAGTAGTAAAATAATACGAGTTTTGGAGTCAGAGTGGTTGTTTTTGAATCCAGGATCCATCCGTTAAACTTTATTTAGCAAGTTACTTACTGTCTCTAAACTTCATTTTTTCTGACCTGTAAAGGGGGTTTAATATTATTATCCTTGTAAAACTATGATTCCCTGAGGACATAGAGCTTCCCTATGAAGACATAAAAATGTCTTAAATCATTTTGAATTCAACCCTGGCACACAGTAAGCATTATTAAATTACTGTTAACATTAGTAGCATCTTCTTACTCATGGTTCATTTTATGGTAATAGCCCTGACAGGCAAACAAGTCATTTAAATAACAGAATGTAAACAAATTTTCTGTACTGAGAGCTTTCTTGATGTCCTAATATTCCATAGAACAGATTACATATTTTCCCTCCACAAAGGGAAAAGAACAGAACCCAGAGCTTCCTCAGACCATGGCCATCTTTGTGTGGCAGGAATGACAACTAGATAATAATGTGTGGCCATGTTTCAGATGCTCTACAACTGTATGTTCTGGAACCTGGTACAGAACAAATTGAGCCAAGACATACAAGAGAGACCCATATAATACTGCTCTCTAAGCCAGCGGTCTTCAAAATCAGAGGGGAAAAAAAAACATTTTGAACATGTACCCTGAAATAAATAATTTATGTATACAACCTACTGTACTGACAAAGTACATTATAAAAATACTCTGAGGAAAGGATTAACAGCAGATCTGAACCGTTCTCCAAACACTGTCTCCCTGGAAACATTTTGGGCCATGATAAATAGGGAATGCCAGCTGTGTTTCCAGGCAACATTGTTTATTCTTGGTGGAATGCAACTAAACCAGGGGGGCTATGAGTGAACTATAAAATCATTCAGGACTCACAGACCTCAGTTTCCTGTGTGCAGTGTGTTCTTACAACTGAGGGCATCCCTTGAGGAGATAAGGGCTGCTACTGAGATACTGGTTCTATGGAGCATGAGCCTTATGCAAGGCAAGGTAGTCCATGCCTACCTACGTGGTTTATTCATCTTAAAACTGAGTTACCACATGGGAGGGAAGGAAGAGGAGGTGGGAAATAATCCTAACCAGCCAGAGGGATCCCCACAGAAGAAGGACCTGACATTATCCTATTGACCTTCTATGTTTCCTGTCCTCTGTTATTCTATTCAATCAAGTGAACCTCATGCCAGATAATGGCCTATTGTGTCATATTAGTGTGAGTCTCAAGACAAAAGCATGGTCCACTCCAGTGATCATGCAGTTATATGCATATACATATGTATTGTTTCCTTACTGTAAGCTAATGTGTTATTTTAAGCACTGTATCTTTGAGTAAACTGCTTGGGTTGACACACTTTTCAGAATATTGGGGGTATATTCCTTGTAATAAGCTTAGGATACTTTCTTTTTTTCCTTTTGATTTTCTGCTGTTTTTGACAGAAACTTATCTTTGGTCATTGTAAACCTCTGGCTTTCTCTACAACTATTATTATGGCTAGGCCTTTTTACTTTGTTTTTATTTTTATTTATATATATTTATTAAGTTTTGTATTTTAGTTCCAGTAGAGTTAACATACAGTGTTAATATTAGTTTCAGGTGTACAATATAGTGATTCAACAATTCCATACATTAGTCAATGTTCCATAAACCCTGATGTTTATAGCAGCATTATCAACAACAGCCAAACTATGGAAAGAGGTGAACTTCCATTACTGATGAATGGATAAAGAAGATATGGAATATATATATTTACTCAGCAATCAAAAATGAAATCTCCTTTTGCAACAATGTGGATAGAACTAGAGCATCTTATGCTAAGTGAAATAATTTAGTCAGAAAAAGACAAATATCATATGATTTCACTTAAGTCAAATTTAAGAAATAAAACATGAACGCAGGGGAAGGTAAAAAAAGAGAGAGGTAAACAAACCATATAAGACTCTTAACTACAGCAAACAAACTGAGGGTTGCTGATGGGAATGCACAGGGAATGGGCTAGGTATTAAGGAAGGCATCTGTGATGAGCACTGTATGTATTCTGTACCATATATGTTAACTACAATTTAAATAAAAACTTGAAATAAAAAAATAGTAAGAGCTCATCATGATGCATGTACTCTTTAATCCCCATCACCTATTTCACCCATCTCCCACCACTTACCCTCTGGCAACCATCAGTTTGTTCTCTAGTTAAGAGTCCAGGGATCCCTTGGTGGCTCAGAGGTTTAGCGTCTGCCTTTGGCCCAGGGCATAATCCTGGAGGCCGGGGATCGAGTCCCACATCAGGCTCCCTGCATGGAGCCTGGTTCTTCCTCTGCCTGTGTCTCTGTCTCTGTCTCTCTCTCTCTGTGCGTGTCTCTCTCATGAATAAATATCTTTTTTTAAAAAGTCTGTTTCCTGGTTTCTGCCTCTTTTTTTTCCTTTGCTCATTTGTTTTGTTTCTTAAATTCTACATATGAGCCAGATCATATGGTATTTGTCTTTCTCTGACTGACTTACTTCACTTAGCATTATATTCTCTAAGTCCATCCATACTGTTGCAAATGGCAAGATTTCATTCTTTTTTATGGCCAAATAATATAATATTTCATTGTTGAGATATATATACATTTTCTTTATCCATTAATCTATTGATGGACAGTTGAACTGCTTCCATAGTTTGGTTATTGTAAATAATGTTGCTATTAACATAGGGGTGCATGTATAGCTTTGGATTAGTATTTTTTTATTCTTTGAGTAAACACTCAGTAGTTTGACTACTAGATCATATGGTAGTTCTATTTTACTTTCAAGAAACCTCCATTCTGTTTTCCACAGTGGGTGCACTGTGCACTGTTGCATTCCCATCAACGGTACGAGAGGGGTTTCTATTATCTCCATATCCCTGCCAAAACTTGTTCTTGCTTGTTTTTTATTTTAGACATCCTGGCAGGTGTGAGGTGATACCTCATTATAGTTTTGATTTGTATTTCCCTGATGAGTGATGTTGTGCATCTTTTCACGTGTCTGTTGGCCATCTGGATATCTTCTTTAGAGAAATGTCTGTTGATGTCTTCTGCCCATTTTTTAAAAAAATTATTTATTTTTTAGAGAGTGCACATGAGCGGAGGTGGAGGGAGGAAGGAGAGGCAGAGAGAGAGAGAATCTCAAGCAGACTCCCTGCTGAATGAAGAGCCCAACATGGGGCTTGATCTCATGACCCTGATATCATGACCTGAGCCAAAATCAAGAATCAGACCCTTACCTGCTTGAGCCACTCAAGAAGACACTCATGTCTTCTGCCCACTTTTCTGGATCAGTTCTTTATATATCATGGATACTAATTCTTTATCAGATATATCATTTGCAAGTACCTTCTCCCATTGAGTAGGCTGTCTTTTATTCTTGTTGTTTCCTTCACTATGCAGAAGCTTTCTCTTTTGATGTAGCCCCAAGAGTTTATTTTGTGTTTATTTCCCTTGTCCCAGGAGACAAATCTAGAAAAATGTTGCTATGGGCTAGTAGGCCTTTTTAAACTAAAAATTGATAACTCCATTGTTACAAATTCTGCAGCAGCAAGACATAAGGAATTCCTAAAAATACAAACACTAAAATACCTTCTTGAAGTCCTCACTTCTTCCTAACTTTCTCTTAGAGATGATCAGGATATCACTATAGAGGGATGTCTGGGTGGCTCTGTCAGTTAAACATCTAACTCCTGATCTCAGCTCAGGTCATAATCTCAGGGTTATAGGATCAAGCCTCACATTGGACTCAATGCTCAACAAGGAGTCTACTTCTCTCTCTCTCTCTCTCTCTGTTATTCTATCTCTCTCTGCCTCTCCCCTGCTTACACTCTCTCTCTCCAAAATAAATAAATCTTTTTGAAAAACGTACAATACTGTGGGACTTAAAACTAAAATCTCTCAGTTTTAATACCCATTTATCCTACTTTCATTAAAATATACTATGCTAAAAATAGAACACTATTTCTACCCTCGATTCTAGTAACCAAGTAATTTTATCACTTCCTATAAAAATTCCTATAGATTTATCTTTCATTATCCCATTTTTAAGTATACATGTTTTAAAAAATATTTTAAAATATTTTTTAAACTTACCCTGAAACATGCAACATCAGTAGCATGTAGAAGACAAAGAAGAGATTATGAGTATACCAGAAGATGTCATAGTTAGAAACTCTGAAAAAAAAATAACTTAATTTCAATGTGACTCTACATTCCATTATTTCAAACACATGTCATAACTGTAGAAAGGTAAAATAGGAGTTCATCTCAGAATTACCTATTGGTATCAAAGTATTAACATAACATGCAGAGAGAACTGACAAAATTATAACTAATACTTTATAATTTTGAAGGTTCTGTGTATTTCAAGTAAAGATACATGAAAATAATTAAAATGTTTATTTTAAAGTTATTATGATGTAAGATTGAGAAGTAGGTAATAGGCTGCTAACATGTACTTTTATTGTCCTTTTGATCAATATTCTCAATTTTCCAAATGACATTTTAAAAAAAAAATAATGCTCTTATTGCAATACATATTGGGAGAATAGTCCAAGGAAAGTTAAATTGAGAGAAATTAAATAAATGCTCATTAAAGTTTTATATTCTTTTCCTGAACGGCATATATGTTAAAAATAACACCTTGGTATTACTGCCCTGGAGGAGAACCACAAGTTGAAAAGAATTTCATTCACTTAAGCCTTATCTTCCTCATAAGTTTGTAATGGCATCTTTATTATTCAGCAAAGCCCTTCTAGGGCTTTCTATCAACTCTATCATTATATTCAATTCCTTGGTCAGTTTTGCACCTGAGTCCTATTCTGTTTTAAGTTATCGAAGCTTAACCATGTTAATGTTTAGTCAGCCACATTTCCCCTTTTACTCCTCTCTGAAACATGTACCCTGCATGTTCCTCAGATGAACTTCAGGATTGTCTTCACTAAATTCAAAAACAAACAAAATAATCAGTCTTGAGTTTTGACTGGAATTGCAACAACCTATAAACTGATTGAGGAAGAACTCCGTCTTTATAGTACACAGTCTTTATTCAAATCTCTACTTGTTTCTCTCAGTGAAGGTCTATGTTGTTCTGTATAGCTTTCAACTAGTTTCTTATTAAGTTTACTCCTAGATAGTCTATGTTTTTGTTGCAATTGTGAGTGGTACCTTTTTATTTTATTCAATTTTCAAATTGATAATAGCTGTTACATTAAAGCCATTTTTAATATTTGTTTTGGGTTCATTAACCTATTTCAACTCTTTAATTTGGTATAACACTTTTTTTTCCCCATAATTTCTTTAGATTCTCTGGCTAGAAAATTACATGCACCTTTCAGGAAATAATGATGACTTCTTGTTGCATGCTTTCTAATAATTCTATTTCTAATATTATAAGTGTTTCATTTCTTAACATATACAAATAATGGTAGAATTAAAAAATATCACTTGGTTTTTTCCATAATTTTCTTAGGAATTCATCTTAAGTTTCTTTGGTAAATATGATCTTAGCTCTGGATTTTTATATTTTTTAATTCTATAAAGGAAATTAATTCTTAGTCTATTCTACTTATTTTAATTCAAAACTAGAGCTCAGATTTAATCACCACCATTTAAAAATCTATTGAGATGAAAATGTTTGTTTTCCTGTCACCTGCTGTTAAAATATACTACTTATTTTAATAGATTGACCACTATTGAACCATTGGTGAATTACTAGACTGTATTCAACTACTCAAAATGTGGAGCCATTTATTCATTTCATTTCTCTAATACTCTGTTTCCTCACTGGTAAAGAGAAAAGGTTAAAACAAGCTTATCTCCATGATCCATGGACTCCCTGGGGATTCCATGATTCCTCCAGGGGTACATGCGTGGCTCAGTCATTTAAAGCATCTAATGCTTGACTTCAACTCGGGTCATGATCTCAGGGTCATGAGATCAAGCCTCACAGTGGGCTCTGCATCAGCAGAGAATCTACTTGAGGATATTCTCTCCTCACCCTCAGTCTCTCCCTCTCCTCAACTTCTCTCAAATAAATAAATAAATTTAAAAAAAAAAAACTCCATGATTGCCCCCCAAAAAGTTTGGAGAATAGTAGAGTTGGTTTTATAATATCCTTTAAAGAACTGAAAAATGGGAGAGCCTGGGTGTCACAATCAGTTAAGTGGCCGACTCTTGATTTCAGCTCAGGTCATGATCTCAGGGTTCTGCAACTGAGCCCCAAGTTGGGCTCTGCACTCAGTGTGGAGTCTGCTTGAGATTCTCTCTCTTCTCCTTTCTCCTTTCTCTATCCCTCTCCACCACTCACACATGTACACAAATGCTCTAAGGTGAATAAATAAATCTTTTAAAAAAATAAAGAAATGAAAAACTAAAGACTACTAAACATTTACTGAATTATTATGAGCATAAATGTAATGGCTTAGTTGAAAATAGAAGCTGATCTTTATATTCCATTGTACAAGACTATTTCTCAATTAAGGATATTTTTTTCTAGATGTAGAACTCATGTATTTTCAATCTTGCAAATAAATATGTCAGATGCCTTAATTTTCCTTCAAAAATACCAAAAACTGAAAAATGAAAGTTTTTTAATGAATGCTTTACCAAACTAAAAGAAAATTTCTGCCCACAAAATTGGTGCTCATGCACACTAATGTTAGAGATTTAATTTGCCTTTCTGTAAGGTGATTTCTAATTCTTTTTTTTTTTTTTGTGATTTCTAATTCTTATGAAAAGTCATAAAAGTTACTTACTATTTGACCCAGACATTGTACAACTAGATTTTTTCCTTAAGACATACCTGAAAAACTATGCAAAGACATATGGATAGGAGTGTGTTTCAGAACTGAAATACTATAAAAAAAATGGAATCAACCTATAATATCCAAAAATAGGGGAATGGGGAAAATAATGTATACATGGTAATAGCTGTTCCATTAGTAAAGAGGATGATAGATAAATATTTATTAATGTAGAAAAATGTTCCTAATAGATTTAAATAAAAAGCAGACTTAAAATGGTATATATAATATGATGCTATATTGGTAAAGTACATAGATATATGAAGAGAGATCAGGAGTGTGAAAGGAAGAAAAAGAGAGTGATAGTGGTGGCAAGAGAATATGGAAAATGAGTGAGCAAGGGCAAGGAGGGTTAAGCCTATAATCATCAAAACCAGAAAATTTATAGAGCTAATCTCTGAGTGGTGAGTTTACCTGTGACACTTTGGTGTATGTGGATGTGTGTACAGATGTGTTCAGAAGTGCAAGGGGAGACTCATTTTAATATTCTGTTGGGCAAGGGCACCTGGGTGGCTCAGCTGGTTAAGCATTAACTGTGGATTTCAGCTCAGGTCGTGATCTCCAGGTCATGGGATCAAGCCCCATATTATGCTCTGTGCTCAGTGAAGAGTCTGCTTGAGAGTCTCTCCCTCTCCCTCTGCCCCTCCCCATTCCACTTGCTTGCACATGTGAGCTCTTTCTCTAAAATAAATAAATAAATAAAGTCTTTAAAAAAATAATCTGTTGGGCAATTCTTTTCAAAGCATGTATGTGTGTGTGTTTCCATTAAACTTCACATCTCAACAAGTAGAATGCCTGAAGATTTTTGAATATTATATACTAACTCTTTTTTGCTTTCTTAAGCAAAAAGTTTGACCAGAAACATAAGAGGCTGTTAAAATGATATGACATACAGAATGTATTCATCAGAAAGAACACGTGAAGGTGCTCATGAAAATGTATACCTGCAGTTGCTCAAAATCTCAACTAGAAGAATAAATATGCATGCAGATATTTCTGATTATTTTAGATGTCAACTAACTACGTTTCCAAATCTTCATTTAGAATACTACATTAAATTGCAGCAAAACAAACACACCAGGAAATGAGTTATAGAATAACTGTGATATATTCCTTTGCATACATGTTACATTCTCATGTCTCATAGAGATATACTGTCCTTCAGATGGATGACTCTAAGGAACTAAAATTTCCCTGGTCATCAAAATGTCTCCATGTCTTCTTATCAATGCAGAATATTTTACAAAAACAAGCAGATTTTTTTCAAAAACAGGAAATGATATATAGAAATGTCTCTACTTCACTCTTAGTTATCCAAAATAGTCCATGAACCAGAATCTTGATTGCACTGGCTAATCATTCCAGTTAACCAAGACTTTTACTACATATGAAAGTGAAGATAATCTAAGGAAAATCTAAATCCTCTGGCCAGAAAACATTAAAATAATGACTCTGACACTCACCGTATTGCATATGTAGAAGCTGTAATCATCAGAAAGAGCACCAACACCATGCCGACCCCGGTCAGGCCAGGAACTATTAAAAAAATGTATATAAGTACATTTTAACTTAAGCCATACTGAGAAAAAAAGTACAAAAAATTATTACCTTAAAATCCAAAGTACTATGCTGCTCTGTGGGAAGCCCAATTCAAATCACATATCTCCTTATATGTTCCCTCTCAAAAAAAGCCTTTTTAAAATTAGCATGGTTTCAAGGTACTTAAGACAAACCAGTGTTTCTACCTTTAACAGAAGAGTCCACCTTAATATTTTCAAGTATTCCACTCAGAATGGTGAATGTGTACATACTTCTATGGGGACATGCTATACCAAATGTACATACTATATCAAATGTCAATAATGAAAACAATGGACAGAAAGAAACATATGTTTAATGGAGAAGCAGAAGAGGTAGGAGGGGAAGACTTCCAAAGGTACAGAGAAATTTTAAAGAATGAGCATTAAGATATGTTCATTACATTGATAGAGATGATGGTTCCATGGATATATGCAAGGGTCAAAACTTATTGATAGTATGTATTAAATATATGAAATTTATTAAATCTTAATTATACATCAAAAGTTGTTTTAAAGGAGGAAAAAATATACAACAGGGCTGGGTTGACATGGAACACCTCTTACTGTTTTGTTTTTTTCTACCACAGTACTAAAACTCTCTTTCTCTCTCAAACCCTCTTTTATGGAACTAGTAACTGCTTCAATTTCAATGCAATTAATTTCTTTTGCACTTCACTATCTAGAGTAATTTTAAAGGAAAAATAAACAAAACCTAAAGCTTTCTAAAAATCACCACTTCAAGTATAGAACAAAAAATAGTAGACTTCAGGAAAAAAAATTATAGTGCTGATGTTTTAAGAAAATTTGCTGGCATATTTCCTTAGTATGGAAAATATGCTGTAATTGGTGCTTCTGATATGACATAAATATCATTTTTAACAAAGAAAAAATTGTCCAAATGTGTTGGTTTTCAAACTTAATACTGACGTTATAAATGGCTAAATATCCAAAATAAGCCCAGATAGCATATCCAAAATGAATAGTTGATTTATCAAAAAGAACTAAAATCACAATAGTATCATTTCTTATTATCTTATTCCTACCAAATAAAATATCTTGTCTATAAGTTACCATTATTTATTCTTATAATCATACAAGCAACAGTAAGTGTCAAATGCTCCAGTGGAGAGATTCCATCTTAAGTCTTTCTGGAGAGCTACTGAAACAATTGTATCTTCAAAAGTATAGACATCTCCCCAACTTCTCTCCTTGACAAATAACTACCTAGAAGACAGAAGGGCCATCATGGACTATAAGCCACTAGCAGAAACAGACAAGCTGGGTACAACAGAAGAGCAACACAAGTGTGCATCATTAGGATCCCAACAGCTTAGAATCACTGGATGAGTGGAAAAAAGTTTCTACTTGTAAAGGGCCACATGAGAAATTAAGGAGTTAGTCTTTGGATACTTAATACCTGAATAATCTTTCCTCCTCAGTTTCCCCAATGTATAGAATTGGAAGCCTGACAAGACTTGCCTTTCCTGATGTGCTTAATCCAAATCATCTCTTCTCTATGCTTCTTTCCCAGGGCACTCCGTTGCCCTCATCTTTCCCATTGCCCCAGGTGAGTACTAACTTGCTAGGGGTAAGAGAAGAACATGATGACTATACTGGTTCACACTAAAGGGCTAATTACTACTATACAGAAAAAATGCTATTTACAAAGAATAACATGCCTATAAAACAACCTGGCCTTTCCACTGCAAATTTTCCCCCAAAGAAACATAAACATATATCTACATAAAGGTTTGTTCAAAAAGTATTCATAGCCACTTTATTTTTAACAGTCAAGGCCTGTAGACAACTCCTATCTCCATCAACAAACGAATGAAGGGGCTCCTGGGTGGCTCAGTGGGTTAAGCGTCTACCTTTGGCTCAGGCCACGATCCCATGGGATCCCATGATCCTGGGATTGAGCCCTGCATCAGGCTCCCTGCTCAGTGGGGAGTCTGTTTCTCCCTCTCTCTCTCCTTGTGCATGCACTCTTCCTCTTTCTCAAATAAATAAAATAAAATCTTTAAAAAAAATCAAATGAGGGATCCCTGGGTGGCGCAGTGGTTTAGCGCCGGTCTTTGGCCCAGGGCGCGATCCTGGAGACCCAGGATCGAATCCCACGTCGGGCTCCCGGTGCATGGAGCCTGCTTCTCCCTCTGCCTGTGTCTCTGCCTCTCTCTCTCTCTCTCTCTCTCTCTCTCTCTCTCTCTGTGTGTGTGTGTGACTATCATAAATAAATAAAAAAAAAAAATCAAATGAGTGGATAAACAATTGTGGTATTATCTGTACCTGGAAAATTAATCAGCAGTTTAAAAAAAAATGAACTAAAAGCAATGACATACATGAATCACAAATTATTTGACTGAATGAAAAAAGCCAGACATTCTCCTCCTCAAAAATTCCCAAGAATATAAACTCTGTGATTCCTTTTATATAGTATTCTAGAATATCCAAACCATTCTCCAGTGACAGAAAGCAGAGTAGCTGCTAAGAGGAGGATGCATTATAAAAGGACATAAAACTTCTTGGAATGATAGATATATTTGTCATCTTGATTTTGGTCTTGGCTTTACAAGTATATACATATGTCAAAACCAATAGAATAGCATAATTTACATATGTAAAATTTAGCGTACTTCAATTGTAACAATACATTTGAAGGAAAAAATAAAAAAGAGGTCTTTCTCTCTCACTTCAAGTAATTGAAAAAAAAAGAAAGGTTATTTGACCAGATGAATAAATAAATGATAGAATCCCAGATGGCTCCATGATGTAAAATGTGTGGCTGGAAAGGCCTCTTCGATAATTTTCTTGGGGCTTCATTAAGGTCTACTGTGCCTGCACACAAGGTTTCCCATGTGGTTCTAAATATGCCAAGATTAGTTATGAAATGTCTATAAATCACTTCATCAGGACACCTGAAAAAACTGAGTATGTTTAGTGTACAGGCATAATTCCCAAAGTATATTACTTGTAACATTAATTCCTTGAGATATTAATTTCTATTACTCAAAGTATAATAACTATTCCTTAAAGAGTCACAGGACACATTAGTATATTAGGTCTGGGAAGTACTATTATCAAGAAACCAGTTTAAATTTGAACAGATCTTTCCTCAAACATTTAACTAGAGAATTCCTTTTAGAGCAGAACACAGAAAATGTATTGGAATTATTTTAGGAGGTGGATAGGAAAATAGCTGACATCAGTCACTTGAAGATGAGGTAGACAGCTTGGCCAATAGGATGCACATTATGGGATAATGATCCAGGTACTGTCCCTTGGGCCAAACCCCAATCTCACTGGATCTCATTTGTAAATTTGGGAGAATCAAATCAATGCTTTTTAATATTCTTTCAGATTTAAGAAGTTATCTTTTTCATCTAAAGGATTCATGTTTCCTTTCTTGCTCCTGGAAGTATAAAAAGATCAGAGTTTGTAGTTTATAAAGTAATAGACAAGATCAATGAAGAAAAAGTTACTTATAATTAGCAATAAAAAGAAAAAATTAGGGGCGCCGGGTGACTCAGTCGGTTAAGTGTCCAACTCTCGATTTCGGCTCAAGCCATGGTCTATAAGGGTCATGAGATCGAGCCCCACAACGAGGTCTATGCTCAGCAGGGAGTCTGCTTCTCTCCCTTTCTCTCTACTCTTTCCTCTGCTCATACTCTCTCTCTTTCTCTCGAATAAATAATCTTTAACAACAACAAAAAAATATTACAATTGTAACAGTCCAGAAAAAAAAAAAGGAGTACCTTAAGAAGCTCTGATTTTCTGTCACTGGAATTAAACTGATCATCTGGATGCTGTAAAGGATAGCTTTGTATCAAGCAGCAGAGTTAAACAATTGGCTTTTATCTTCAGTGAGTATTTTCTGGGCAACTGCAGTATGCTCTTAATTGAGAAAAAAAAAAAGAATCCTGCTCTAAAAGAAATCTCAGTTCAATGTAGGAAATAGGATAAGCAGACAAGTGAAACATTAAGTACTCAAAGAGAGCTAAGTGTTTTCCAGGTACATCAAAGGGCACCCTAACCTAGCTCCAACGACAGCTAAGATCCAACATATTAGCTTCTATTACTACATGCATTCCAGGAGTCTGGAAGCACAGGTTGAAAGTAACTGAGTTAATCAAAGCTTCCTAGGCAAAGTTACTTGCCAAAGTGAAGTACCCTGTGAATTCTGAATCCTTCAAGTTATGAAGCAAAAACTATAATTGTTTTCTTAGGAAAAGACATGCTTGTATGTTTAGTCTTATTACTTTTTATCTATGCATATTAGATTCGTTAATTAGTTGCCTTTAAAGTGAATGATTGCACTGTACTTCCATTTCTAGATGAAACTGAGAGGTCATTTTTGTCCATACCCAGATGTGGTCAGAAATATACCATCTTGTACTCATTATCCTGTTTTCTCAAACATAACTGGAAACACAGTTCTATTTGTTTATGAGTGTTTTTCCTAATTGAAATTGGATACTGTGCATTTTATTGTCATCATACAAGGTACTACCAAATTTGGAAATAATGTAGTAAACATTTGGAAATGCATGTTTGAATAATTAAATCTTTCAAATTTGTTTTATTTTATAAATTCTTAATTGGACTGTTTTTAACATTTCTTATTGAGTGATCTAACTACTATATTTTATGTTACTTGAATTGCCAAGGCTTTAGTTTCTACAAAACAATCTTAATTTCTCAGTTGTGGACTACATTGAAAAATATTTAAAGACAAGGAGAGAGAAGACTCTGTGTAATATTAAACAAACTAAAATCCAAGAAATATATTAACCAATAAAAAAATAGTCATTATCACTAGAACATCTAAAAACACGCATGCATTTTCCTCCATCAGAAACATGATTTTTCCTAGGCACTGTATCTAACAAAGTTCAAAGATAGCATGAAATAGTTTGTCATAGACATATTAGTAATACAAAGCTAGATTAAGTCTTTTGTAGAAAATTCTCTCTTATCCCACTGCCATCCTCTGATTCTGCTTTGTTCCCTCATCTACTAGTCAGTAGGGTCAATCAGATGCCCTATAAGCCCTAGACTCATACTTAGGGGTCCCAGAATATATTCCAAGCTAACAACGTAGGAAGTGGATGGCTCCTCTGGCCAGCACAGAATTTCTTTCATAAAATAATGTAGATTGGGACACTAAAATAATGTTGACATGCTGATTTGGGGTGATTCCTGTTGTCTGTATTGACAGAAATCCCCCCCCCCAAAAAAAAACGTTTACTTGAGGTTCCTGACTGCCCTAAGGGAAGCCCTGCCTCACAGTGAAGCAGCTCACCTTCCAGTGGAAAAGATTATATATGTAAGGAAAAAAATTATTCTACAATATAGTACTTTAGCTATGCATCTTTAGGAACCTACACTAAAATAGAGACCAGCTCTGCCTATTGGAATCAGGAAGGAATTTGTGGATGATGGGGGCATGTCAGCTGAGACTCAAAGATGAGCAGATGTAGACAGGGTTAAAAAAAAAGAAAGAACAGAGTAAGAGAGTAGACAAAAGTTAGGTGTTGTGAGAAGGTAATTACAAGAGTATGATGAGATGTCCAGCAAGGGTGAAATGGAAGCTCCTTAGATACATGGTAAGGTTAATAATATGTACTGTTGGGTCACACCACAGAGACTCTCTAGGATGGAGCCAGGAAATCTGTGTTTTGAAGTATTATCTCTAGTTAGTCCAATACCACTCATGGGAACCTCTGGGAAGTAACACAGGATGATGGGGTTTCATGCTACATGAAGAGATCACCTGCTTCTATACAAGTATTCATTATGCTAAGCTCCTTAATGTACTATATTCATCATACAAGAAATCATGTTATATGTTTGGAAACTAAATTTTTTCAAACACTTTAAATATCCCAATGTTTCACCTATATTTGCTGCTATGAAAAATAATATTAAAACAAAGTTCTTGATTATTTCTGTAAAAATAATTCCTATGAACCAAAACATACAATGATTCATATATAAGGTTTTGTTTTTCTGTTTTTTCTTTCTATTTCTCATCCAATTCTTAAGGCTTAAATAAAAAACATGCTTTCAATGAGCAAAGTTATAAGCATAACTAAAATTGTGCTCCTAAAGAGAAAACTGTGAAATACTTTGTAAGTGGCAAACATCATACATATAAACAGAAAAAAAAAGTTTATAATCAAATATACTGTGTCAGGGAAGGGGAAAACACCAGAATTATAGCTATTTTCCTAAAACTGATTGAAAAAAAAAAAAAAACAATGTATTTGACAAAGCCATGCCTCAGTCTTACATACAATCTTGATCCTTAATAGGGTGTTTATGATAGCCAAGACACACACCATCTCAACTACCAAATTGTCCTTATCTCTGAAATAATGTGCTAAAAATGCCCCAAATGCAGTTCTGTTCTTTCATACTTATTAATGTAAGGCTGAGAAAGAGAAGAATTTTAGTAAGAATTATACTAACATCAGGGTAAAATTTTGAGATGTTTAAATGTGGTTTAACGAATAAATAGTCTAGACATTTATCTAGAGATTTCACAGACAATATGCTAGAGAAGAAAAAGTAAATTATAGATGAAAAAGGAAATACACTTCAAGAAAAATAACCGATTGGGATCCCTGGGTGGCGCAGCGGTTTGGCGCCTGCCTTTGGCCCAGGGCGCGATCCTGGAGACCCGGGATCGAATCCCACATCGGGCTCCCGGTGCATGGAGCCTGCTTCTCCCTCTGCCTCTCTCTCTCTCTCTGTGGGACTATCATAAATAAATAAATAAATAAATAAATAAACAAAATAAATAAATAAATAAATAAAAATTTAAAAAAAAGAAAAATAACCGATTTAAATGACTATTCCCCTCTTTTTATGTAGGCTTTAAGATCATCAAATATTCTACTAAATTACTGAGTTTTAAAAACTGCATCAATAATCAGAGTGCTTGGTGTTTCTTTCTAACACCTTGAGGGTAGGAGTCTATTCTGTGTATTATTTCTAATACTACTTGCCACAACCAGTGGCACAAAGCATGTCCTCAACAACCATATGGCATCACATCATTGTCATTGGAAGAACATATGAAAGGCAAATGCATTTACTTAACTTTTACTCTTCATTCATTCGAACCTCACCATTTGCCTTGCCCCTCTGTTTTCAATGCAATTTATGTTTGGTAACATTTGTTCTGATCGCAAAGTTTTCATGTTTTATTTTAACATACATTTAATTGCTATGTAATTCAATTATGCTTATTCTCAAAGATTTCCCTGAATCTTCAGAAAGAGCAATCAATAACAACTTACCGGTTGTGAAGAGAAGTTTTCTAGGATCCTGAGAAAAAGGAAAAAAAAGTGGACTGAAAAATAAAACATTGATAATGCAAAATTTTGCAAGGAGTCTGCTGGGTATGTGATCCATTAGACATTTAAGATACTAGTCTCCCAGTGGAAATGAGAAATTCAATCAAGTTTCACGTTTTCATGACACTAGAGGAGATTCTAACAAGCACAAAATCCAGCCCATTAGAGGGGCACATAGGTGACTCAGTCAGTTAAGCAGTTGACTTTGACTCAGATCTCAGGGTCCTAGGACTGAGCCCCACGTTGAGTCCTGCATTTGGGTTCCATACTCAGCAGGGAGTCTGCTTCTCCTTCTCCCTTCTGCCCTTCTCCCTATTCATGTATGCACACTCTTTCAAATAAATAAATAAAATCTTTAAAAAATATCCAACATGGAGAGACTGTCCTTCTGAAAAAGGAAGAGCCCTGGATAAAGAGTCATAAAATGTAGACTTTCATCTTAATGGCTAAAGCTTGTAATAGTGGCCCAAAGCCCACCTTTTGACTATTTTGAGATTCAATATCTTTGACTATAATGTGGAAATATTAATAATTACTTTGTCCACCATAATTGCCATACTGCACCTACAACATGTCAAGACAGTGAGAATCAAAAATGATAAAATATGTAGGGAGGGTTGTCACTGTAAATTCAGTGCAAAGAATACTAATTGAATACTTACAATGTTTCAAATACTGTGAGTGATGATACTCAAAGAGGACAGGTTCTTATTACTCAGAATTATAAAAATTAATATTGTTAGTGTAATCTGTCCTTTAAACTACATCTTTCATGGCGCAATGGACTTTAGGCAACTCCCTTTCTATCTTCTGGAAAACTGAGATCAATCCCAAGTAGATTTGTGGATTTGTTTTTCATCCTAATGGTGCTTAATATTGCATAATTTTTGAAATTCTTTCCTAGGCCTCCATTGAATCTGGAGTCAGGCCACTCTATATACAAAGAGGGAAGCCATTCATATGAAAAAAATTGAGAAGCCTTGAATAGAGGCCACTTGCTCATGAATATTTTCTCTTCCCATTGGGGCCAGATGACTTTTACCTCTGACATTAGGAACACAGCTCAAGAGTAACCTAGAGTAACCTTCTATATAAACAACTCCTGGAAATACAAGGCCAACTGAACAAAGTGGTAATACCAGAAATATGAACATTTAGCTGTGAGAACTCAGAAGATGCAACAAATTATCACCGCCAGGGAATGAGGATGGAATGTGAGAGTAAGAGATAGTTTCACACATGACAGGATGAGGCAGATTCAGCTAGGCCATCAAGAATGTGCCACTCAGCAGCTGCAGGGTGGGTCACTAGAAATCTGCAGAAGACCGAGAGAGAGCACAAAGCAAAGGACAATAGAGCACGTGGCACAAACCCACCTTTCTCAAAGACAACTCACAGAAGACTGTATCTGTTTTTGCATGCAGTATGTGTGTGTGTGTGTGTGTGTGTGTGCATTTTTATCCTCATCTAGCATACTCTCTGGTGCCTACCAAGGATTCAAAAATATTAACTAAAATAAAGAAAAGAGGGAGAAAAAAAGAAGGAAGGAAGGAAAAAAAGCAAGGGGAAATAGAAATTAAAACAATGAGTTACCATTTTTCATCTGTCAGATCGGCAAAAATTAAAGAAAAACAAAAACGATTAAGGTGCAGATATAAGCATTCTGACAAACTTGGTAGAAATGTGTCAACCAATGAAGCCTTTTTAGAAGCCAAGTTGGCAATGTCCAACAAAACTAAAAATGTACATTCCTTTGAAACCAGATACTACTTCTAGGAATCTGCCTAGCCAAAGCATATTAAAAAAAAAAAAAAAAATTTATTGGAGTGTGGATCGTAACAGAAACTCAAAAACAACTTAAACATCTATGAATAAGGAAAAGGCTAAAAATACACTATCACACATTAATATGAAAAGAATGATAGATCTACACTTTCAGATACAGCAAGCAATAGTACATGTAATTATGGAAACAAGAAAATTGCTGAGGAATAGGTCTCATAAAATGTCACTCAAAATATAAGAGAACAGAAAGTTGTTAACTGGCTACTTTTGGAGGAGATTTCACTTTTAAACTTTATCTGTTTTAAAATATTTGTGGGGGGGGGCATATACCCTTCATAAAAATGAAAGAAACTTAATAACTAAAAAACCTAAAGTGACTAAAATTACTAGACTGTGAAGCACAAGTATATGCCATTAAAATGATAGAACCATTATAGCTAGTAAATACCTTAGATTTTTACATAAACAAGAGAGAGAAGCGAAGAAGGAAAGTCGATGGCAGAGGTAGGAAACAAAGAAGCCCATGTGCTGTGGGCAGAAAGGGATAGAGGAATGGTGGTAGGTCGTGGGAAAGAGAAAAGGAGACATCTCCAGTTCTGGAATCATTACATTTGAAGAGCTTCCAGTGGCTTGTGAAGGAGCTGGCTTTGTCAGTGGTTCTTAATGCTGGGTACTCACCCCAATTAGCAAGTGAACTTTTAAAAAAGATATCAATGCCTAATCCCAACCTAGATCAGTTAAATCATATTGGCATTTTTAAGAAAACTCGTGTCTAGTCAAAGAACTTCTGAAAGGCTGCTTGCCATTTTGGTTTTGTGACTTGTTTCTTGGTTTGTTGTTAGTCTTCCCTTCGTTTTCTTCTGGGAAGGAGATGAAGCAGCACAGAATCACAGCAGTATTAATCTCGGTAACTTGGGTGATACGTGGATGAGAGGTCGGAGCCTGGGAAGATGGGGGATAACCTTACAAAGTCACACCAGATTTAGCAAAGCAGGGTGGGGAGACCCAATGCCACAGCCAGCGGTTTGATTTTGATGCAGTGTTGGTGGCAGGCAAAGGCAGACTGAGGACAGGATGAAGTACTGAACGATCGCTAACCAGGGCAGTACGTGTATTCATTCGGCTCTGGCCCGGCACCCTGCACATACAATTTCTCTTCATGGGTGGCTTCCCATGGAGAAAAGCAGCCCTAAGTCAGATATTCCCGGGAACAGAACTCAGCTCAAGGTCACCTGTTTCAAAGATTAAAACAAAACAGAGTAACCACTAAAACCCAATAATATTTTTTAAGTCAAATAAACAGGTTATTCAGGATCTTCAAATAGTCAAGCTGCCCTTCCGCCCTTTTTCCCCCCAAGCGCAGTATCTCAGTTATTAAAAAACGTGCGCCCTGTAAAGGCACTCTCGGCAGTGGCCCCTGGACGAGAAGCAGACGACGCTGCTGGGAGGCAGAAGGCAGGCCTGAGTGGCAGCCATCTGAACACGCAGAATATAAAAAGTAGACACTCTCGAACTCCCATTTTCAGCAGGAGACACTGTGAAATAGTAATTACCTATATTTTCTATTGAAAAGGAACAGAACTCAACTTGACAACTGCATTTTAAAAGCACTCAAAAGGAGCAGCAAGGTACAAATTTTCCGTGAAATTCACAGACCTTCATTAGTCAGCTCAAGAGAAGTGAAAGGCAACCGAGAAGACAGAGACCACCCACCTCGTCTCGGTATCTTGCTGCATTCAGTTCAGTGAAATCCTCATTGTAGTTCACGGAGAAGTTGAGGGCATTCACCAGATGGGCTGCCACGTGCACACCTACGGAAGCACATGAGGCACAAGTCAGGGGGATTTTAATATATGTCCCACAAAGAGGACTTCTTTCCTCTTCCTAAGTAAACACAGGGTAAAATTTGACAGCTAGGTGAGTGATAAAATATTAAAGTGAGAAGGGAAATTATAAAGACACACACACAAAAATCATTATAGGTATAGTTGAGCATTAGAAATCACAAAACGAAAAAAAAAATTAAAACTAAAAAAATTAAATCAAATCAGAAAAAAAAAAAGAAATCACAAAACGAGGGACGCCTGGGTAGTTCAGTGGTTGAGCATCTGCCTTTCGCTCAGGTCATGATCCTGGGGTCCTGGGATCAAGCCCCACATCGGACTCCCCATGGAAAGCCCGCTTCTCCCTCTGCCTATGTCTCTGCCTCTCTTTCAGTATCTCGTGAATAAATAAATAAAATCTTAAACAAACAAAAAAGAAATCACGTAACAAAATGGAATTCTCAAAGGCTAGAATAAAACAACACCTGCAAGTCAGAGTTAGGAAACATCACGTGTCAATGTATGGATAATATGGGCATGTATTTATTTATTTAAGCAGCTCCTGGATATTTGAATTATTCTACATTTTTCACCAACCTCTAGCTCCAAATCTGCTGTACATCTTGTATACTCCCCTGACACTCAACCTAAAATATAGGCCCACTTTATGGCTTCTAGCCAGTTAAGATTTCTCACGATCCAAAACCTCAAATCATAACATCTTAAACCCCATAGCAAAAGTGCTGGTAATTGTTTCATTGGGATAAAAACCCAGGAAAACAATGATTACCATTTAATAATCTACCTACAGTGGCACAGGGAAACAGAGAGCTCAACCAATTCAGAGCCCACACAAAAGATGGAAGTGTTAGGAAATTATTAGACAGTTAAAGACAAATTCATCTTGGCACGGCTAGGGAGAAGAAGAATTATATCGAGGAGGCTGGACAAGGAAAACGCAAACAAACTTGTGCGTTGATGATAATGCCTTCTCCTCCCAGTGTCTTCTTGTAGGTAAAACGAGGTTCAAATTAACAGTCCATCATAATGTACTGGAAGGAACGACAAGTAACTAATTGAAAATCAGGTTTTCTTGGGACGCCTGGGTGGCTCAGCGGTTGAGCATCTGCCTTTGGCTCAGGGTGTGATGTCCAGGAATTGAGTCCCGCATCAGGCTCTCTACAGGTAGCTTGCTTCTCATCCCTCTTCCTATGTCTCTGCCTCTCTGTGTGTCTCTCATGAATAAATAAATAAAATCTTAAAAAAAAAATAAAAGGAAATCAGGCTTTCTTGGCCATACTGTTTGCCTACCAACCCCTCAGGTTAGTTCTCTGTAAAATGATGGAAGTAGGAGACTTACTAAGACAAGTAACCTGAAACTGGTGAGTGAACCACTACAGCCTATAACAATAGATGGCGTGTGGTTATTCAACAGAAAATGTGTGTAGAAACTGGGAAACTATGGTTCTCTCCAACCTAGCACAAGAGATGTAGATATACCAAGAGTTCTGAAGGACTCACGAAGACAAATAGAATGCCAACTAACTTAAAAGTTAAAGGATTGTTAAAGCTCTTGCCAGAATCAAATGAGAGGAAGGACAAAGGTCTCATTAAAAAGTGGACAGGAAGTTAGAAGTGAGTTAACTAACAAGCAAGGACAGAGTTCCAGGGAAATTGTCAAGAAGCTGTCCAGGTGAGACTCCACTCTGGCACAGGCATAAGACATTATTTAAGCAAAATTGGCTGTGTCCTTTAGCTTTATCAAGTCTGAAATGTGTAAGTTAAAAAAAATCCTTTCATTTTAAATTAAAGGTTGATACGTTAACAGCATGCTTTGTGGCTTTTCTTTCTGAATTCTCCTGAAAAAAAAAAAAAAAAGCCCTAGGTAACAGTTATATGAGATACCCTTAAGGGTTATCTGCTCCCTTTATTCACCTCCTTTAAAAGACCTTTTAGGTCAAAAGAAATCGGGGCTTCTAATTTTAGGCATCAGGGAGAAAGCCAGACCAGGCATTTTGGATAGATGTTCTCATTTAATTCTCACAACAGAACAATGAGGTGGGTAGAAGCATCCCTATTTCACAGGTAAGAAAACGAAAGCCAGAAAGGGCAACCCAGTTGAGGTCAGGCAATTAGTGAGAGACAGAATGCAAACCGTCTGGAATACGTGTTCATTCATGGCAAGACTACAGGATCTGAGTCTCTTGGTTGTTCTCCAATTGAACCAGAATATTTGAACACAGCTACAGTTTAGAACAAATCGAGTTACAAATGTGTCAACATTCCCTGACCCTCCTGCTTTTCTGATCTTTCACTCCCTGTGTTCTAACCCAGCCCTGACCCTTGCTACACCCTTAATCCTCATCTCATCCTGGACTCTTACTCCATCCCCAGCCTCTTGAGTTGTATGGAGTCCTAATCCCACCCCTGAGCCTCTCCCCATCTCTTGCCTCCAGAGGTGGGAACCATGAATAAGATATCCAGGGATAAAACAGTGCAGATGCCTGTTTCAACAGTCCTTGGCAACTTTGTAAAAGTCAAAAGCTGAATGGCCTCTTGGAGGCAGCTGCATCAAAACATGTCTGATTCAAAACAGCCATGCATACCTATCCAGATCAATTGTCCCTGGTGTCAAAACAGCTCTGTCCTATCAAATAATGACCAACAGGAAATGTCAGGTGCTATGCCACTGAGATAATTAACCCCTGAGATCATAAATCACAATAACTAATTCTGTCCTAAAAACTTCACCTGAGTGATCTCATTTTAGTCTTAAAATCATGAGGCAGGTGCTACTGTCAATCCATCTTATGATAGAAACAACAACAAATCAAAAACCAGAGAGCTTATGTAACATAAAGGTAGAAGGGCAGTTGGAGATAGATCCCGCATAACTCCATCTCCAAAGTCCATGTACTTAATTAATATGTTTATCACTTTCTGTTCTAAAATTTGAAAAATATCACATAAGTGTTCAGGATAAAAATTTACTTTAAAAAGACTTTTAAAAAGCAAAAGATTATCACTTGATATTTTAACTTGGAATTGAACAGGATAAATTTCCACAACATTTGACATTTAATACCAAGTATTAATATCAAAGAAACACTTATCAAATATAATTTTAAATGGAATCACATTCTATGAATGGACATTTTGCATTCTGACATATGCATTTAAACTATCATATCTATACTTTTAAACCTTCAAAACTTTTATCCTATTTCTTTTAGTCTTTCTAAATCAAACTATTTACTTTTAGGAAATAATTATTAACAGCTTGAGGGCCAACTCTCATACATTATAATGTGAAAAGTACATATATAATGTGTAAGACACTTATTTTTTGTAGCGCCAATAGGCAATTCTCTTTCAACACATGGAGAAAATTAAGATATGTAATGAGAAAATCACAAGTTGGTGATAGTAAATAACTTACAGAAAAACAAAAATACCATTCATAAAATGTGTTCTTCTAACATAATATTTTATTATCTTTTGGTTTCCTCACCTGAAAAAATACAGATAGTGACACCACAGGTTATGTGGAATGTTCTGCTTTTATCCAGCAATCTTCTGGTTCTCCTGCTTGGAACCTAAATAAAATTCAGTATGGTGAAAATGATGCAGCAAATAAGATATATGTACAAAGTTTTTCACTATAGCACTGTTTATGGTATCAAAGTTTTAAAAATATGGCAGAGGCCTAGAAATTATAGTTGGTGAAATGAATTATGATACATATCTAGTCAGTGGAACACCCAAACCATTACAGAGAATTTGAGAAGGTTTATTACTGACATAGAAAGACGCATCAGATATATGCCTAGGTAAAAGAGTTAGAACATATAAACTATACTATATAATCCTATAATGTTTAAAATTAATGGCATTCTATGCAAATCTGAAGGCACTTACCCCAACTGTAATCCATGGCTGTTATAGCACAGTAATATTAGGAGAAAATTTCACTGATTACTTTACATATTTCATATTTTACATATGTTCTGAGCTGTACAATATATATGATTTCCCTTTGTAGTAAAAAACTAAGAAGATTTCTTAAATGAAGCAATTCCATCTAAGGTTTTAAATGCCTTCTTGATCTTATAAAAAAATAAAATGTCAAGCATCTTTGAATACCTATGTTTCACACCAGGGGACCGTTTTTTTAAGACTTATTTAAATACTGAGACACTTAGGTGGGCACTTTTCATTTCCTGCCATTTATCTTCTCTTTCTTCACACCAAGCCAATATCTAGCCATAGGCATCAAAACCTAGCATTTTACAATGGTAGGCAACCTAAAGAGTTATTTCCACAAATTACTGCATTAAAAGTAAAGAGCTTCTAAATATAATTATGTGAAAAGGTTGAGAAGTTTCACTGCAGCAAATCTGCTCATATGAACCTCACAGAACATCAAAGTGACCTCATATTAACAACTTCTTTTAAAATATCAGTATTGATCCAGCAGCACCTTACTATTTCAACAAAGAAAAGAAATACAGGTACACAGATGCACAGCAGGATAACCAAAGACAAAACACAATTTCAGTTGAGTTTTAATTTCCAAAGTGCTTTTGTGTTTTCTTACAACCTTCATTTTACAACATGTCACACAACATCACATCTTAATCAAGACATCTTCTCCAAGACTCTTATGTAGCTTAAAACATGTATGTGTTTGGAAAAGAAGTAAATCACCACCAACAGCAGTAGCCACCCTATATATTGTTCAAAGTCCACGGGTCTCTAGCTTCCAGTTTGCTCACCTGGACTTAACTAAATGAAAACACAGAATCTCAATGAGGCGTACGTAGTAGTATAGTGGAAAAATCTCAGGACTAGGACTGATCTTAGCTCTGCCATTTCACTAGTCTCATGATGCTGGTCGAATTACTTAACTTCTGTGCCTCAGGGCCTTCATCTGTAAGATCTGCAGAATCATTGTGAGGATTCAGTTACATCCACAGAATGTTTAGCAAAGTGCCCGATGTCACTATTAAACCATTTCTATTATCCTTTATCTAGCACCACAGAATAGCTCACTGATCATCTTGACAGGTGACGTGGCCTTTACTATCATCTGGTAGATGACAGCAGATGATAGAAATCAGTCTGGTAGAAGGTCAGACCATGAAAACTAAGTAGTACTAACTTGCCACTGTTAGACTTGATTTTTATCTTGGAATCTGTGACTTGGGTTCTTTGTTCTTACCTTCTGGGATCCTCGAAGGTAAGCCAGGAGTGTCCGGCACATGGGTAAAAGGATAAGGCTGCAGTTGAGATTAAGAACAGATGCGGAGGCTCTGCTTAGACACAATCCTAGCTGAACAAATAAGGCAAGAGTCAAAACACAGTCAAGGCAAAAGCAGACTATGAACTTGCCACAGACCTCACCCTGCTTCTCCTTTAAGGATCATGGCAAAATGCCAACTCCTTCAAGAATCTTGAACAACCGTCTACTTTCCTCTCACCAAAAACCCTGAAAAGAAACTGGTCTCTTTCTGCTCTGCACCTCTATAAAACTTAGTCTCCCTTCATTTCTACCAGTGTTATAAACACCTGAGTACATTTTTCTGGGGTGAAGTCAATTTCTTGTTCTGCACCCACTGTACTATGAAGATCCCTCCAGAGCCTTGGTATATTATGCACCTCACCCTGGTGCAGTTGAACTCTTTTTTCACCATAAGGTACCAAAAATTTCAAACAAAGCTTTTTCATTTGTGTTCTCTCTAGAACATTCTGATCCTACAACCCCCTTCCAAGCCACTGTCTGCCCACCTTTCAGCTCTTCACCTTACTGCTTCTACCATCTTTCAGGTTTTACCTTAAGCACTACACCTCTAGAGTCCTTCTGTGACCCAAAATTAGGAGGGGTCCAGATCAGCTGTGCCCCATACAAAGACAATCATCACCACCTTATGTAAAAAAAAATATTTTCAAAGAATCAGTACCTTCGGTGTTGAGGTCATACTTTCTGGCAACTAATTTTAAATCAAACTCCTGCTAGGTTGTCATCTGCTATTGTCTAGTACTATCTACATTCCTCATATAGTGCATGATGTGAAAAGAGATGGGGCTATATATATATATATATATATATATATATATATACACACACACACACACACACACATATATATACATATACTCTTGTCCTAAAATAAACATAAAAGTACTTTAAAGATATTGACTAACAAATATGTGTAAGTCAGATGCTTTTCTTATCTTAAAATTATTCATGCTCCTGTGATTTTCAACTTAATGGTTGGCAAAATAGCAACTCTGTTACAAAATGTTTGCTGCCAGCACATAAAATATTGTTCTTGAAGGGGAGACAGGATAATAAGTCATGTCAGGAAAGCAATAATTTCCATTGACTTATATAAAAAGTAATTAATATTTCCAGTTAGGCCATTTCTACACCATGAGTTAGAACACCTTAGGGATATATTGCAATGAATATAGCAGTAAGTAGACAAATAGAAATAATTCCCTCTAGACTATCTTTAAAAAATCTTAAATATCTCACCTCACTCAACAAAGTTATTATCATTTCATAGTGATGGGGTTTTGTTATTTAGGCCTCCAGAGAAATAGAATAATTGTTATCTCTTCGATCTGGCATCTGCACATGATAAAATTTTAGCTCGAGGGATTTTTAGATGATAATTTTATCTGCAATTTTAATGTACCAGGACAATAATTCATTTAAAATTTATCAGCTAATATCTATCATTTACGCATAGGACTTCAGAGATACAAATAAATGATCCAAGTTTCCTTTGTAGTATAGTGATTTAAAGAAAATTCTTAGATTCTTCATTTTCTAGCCATTTATTGCGTGTCTGGAAGTGTTTTATTATTGTGCTTACATTAAATCACATAGTAATTTAACTCAAAGTGGCTTTAAGTGTCCCCTTAGGATAGATGGAGTTTATCTTGGTATTCTACTTCTTCCTTAACAATGCTGTAAAATCTATCCGGAAATTTTACCAAGGACTCATTTCCTTCTGTATGTTTGTTCCTGAATATACTTTGTTCTTTAAACTGAGACGAAAACTTCTTTTTATTGGGTTATCAGAGTACAAAACTCCCTGGTTCCTAAGTAATGGAGAGAGTGAGGAACATGGAGACAGGTCCCAGTCAAGGGGCACAAGCACTGGATATGATCTACTTACCACGTGGGTGATATCCTACAGCCAAGAGCATTTGTTTTATTTAGTACCTATCAATACATGACCACTGTAAGAATCGGCTACCTCAAATGTTCACTAAAAAGAAATGACCACCCCAAGTTATGTGGCCAGGCCCACTCTGTGTGAATGACTCCTGTTTCCTTTCCTAGAGAACTTAACCGCTACTCTACTTTTCTAACTTCATTCAAGTTTTTTGTCACTAGATGGCAGTGTTATGTTCACGTTTCAAATCCTACCTGTCAAGGTCTCTAAAACCCAATTAACTGAGAATTCCACATGTAATTTTAAAACTGTATATTTTAGATGAGTATGTACAAATAAAACATAGCCTACTCCTTTTTATGGACTGGATATCTGTTCCCCCCAAATTCATATAATGAAATCTAATGTAAAAAAAAGAAGAAAGAAATAAAAGGAAGGAAGGGAGGAAGGGAAGGAGGGAGGGGAGGGAGGGGTCTAATATCATAGTATTTGGGAGCTTTGGGGAGGTAATTAGGTTCAGATAAGATCAGGAGGATTGGGTTCCCATTGTGGGATTAGTGCTCTTGTAAGAGGAGGAAGAGACCACAGCTCTCCATAGACTCCATGTCAGGACACAGCAAAAAGGTGGCCCTCTGCAAACCAGGAAAAGGGCTCTCAAGGGCTCTCATCAGACACCAAATCTGCTGGCACATTGATCTTAGACCTCCCAGCCTCCAGAACTGAAATAAATGTTCTCTAAGACACCTGGTCTATAGTATTTTATTAGAGCAGACTGAACAAATGCAATCCTAAAGAAAATCATAAGACACATGCCATTTGAAGCAAGTTATAAAAGAATGTAACACCTGGGTATACCAAGGGAATGGTTATTTTCCTAAAATCTCAAGCACCTGGTTTCCTATCTTAAATCTGCTATTTAATAACTATTCATCTTGAGCTAGTTAACTGTCCTTGTCTGTAAAATTAAGAAGTAGAAATGGTCTTATCTATAAAATTAATATGTTATGATACAAGAATCCTAGTTTTTAGAACTTTTGAGAAAAATAAAATCAGTCTAAAATATGCAAACACAATATAAAATTAATTTATTGCCTTGGGGTCACTGTATCACATCCCTTCTCTGAATTTTCTATTCTGCATTTCTTCAGTAAGTGCTCCACGTACATTATTCATTCAATACCTATTTATTGTGATATGCACATATCCCAAGATGGCAGGAGTTCAATTTTGAACTAGAAACAGAGAATGCCTATTCCTTAGGATATTTATATTCTAGTAGGGGAAACAGAAACTAATCAAATAGCTATATAATCAAATGTAAATTCTAACAATGATCAATGTGAGAAATACAGAGAATGAGCATGTGTAATAGGAAATGAGAGCTAAATGAGAAGGTCAGGAAGGCTTCCCAGCTTAAGTGAAAAGTGAACTGAGATTTTCAGGGTGAGAGTACAAGTCATTCAAAAAAATGAAAAAGACATCCACACCACACCACCACATGGAAAAAAAAAAAAAACAGCATGAGGAATGATGGCAGCAAATGTGAATACGGTATATATACAAGAATTTAATAGTAGGTCAGTGTGGTGGGATTGGAAATGGAGAGTGATTACAAAATAAAACTGGGAAAAGGGGAAGATATGCTAGATTGTGTAGGTCACATTAAGAATGCATGTCTTCATCCTAAAATTAGCACAGAACAAATGTGTTTTAAGCAAGAAGGTGGTATAAAGAGTTAGTATTTGCTAATGATTACTCTGAATCAAGTATGGAGAACAAATTGGAAGAAAGTAACTTGGACCACTACATTACTTTGTGTAGTTAATCATCACAAAAATGTTGTTTGAGACAAGGATTGCATTTTATGGCAATTAGGACTGAGTCGTACATAAAGGATCCAGTTTTGATGATATACTGTACTAATCAGTAAATTTGTTTAGCTAAATAATTTACTAAAATATGTACCTCTAAGATTGGAAAACTAAAATGGTCTATCCCACATCCCACCATCCACCCACAGTCTAACCCCTTCTATGACTGCCCTAACCAAAGGTGATCCATCTTCTGTTGATTTTTTCCAGAGTTAACAGCCTGTTCTATTGTCAAAAACTTCTATTTTGCTTTCTTATACTTGCATAAAGTCTGTGTCTTTGTAACTTCCACCCACCAGGCAGTTCTAGATAATAATATTCCTAAACTGAAGATAAAAGAGGAATGATTTCCTAGTCCAATCATGTTTTCTTCATGCTACACACAATCAGTTGCCTCTGAAATTCTTTTTTCTTTAAGATTTTATTTCTTTATTTGAGACAGAGAGAGCAGTGGGCAAGGGCAGAGAGAGAGAGAGAGAAGCAGACTCCCTACTGAGCAGGAAGCTCAGCGTGGGGTTGGATCCCAGGGCTCATGACCTAAGCTGAAGGCAGATGCTCAACCCACTGAGCCACCCAGGTGCCCCACCCCTGAAATTCTTGTAATTTCAAGACTCCCTCTCATCTCTGTGACTCCTCCCAATTCACCAGAATTCAGTGCATCTTCAAAATGGATGAACAGTAGCAGGCAGTACTAAAGAGCATCATCTCCCTCACAAGGTCCATGGTCTCTACTAATTCTAAGACTGTGCTATTTCACAGGACAACTATGCTACATCATGGCTTATCTTAAGTTTACAACATAGAGATTTTCTCACATGAGCTGCTACCAAGAAATGACCCCTATTCTACAGTGGAAAAAAGACAATGAAGGTGAGAGGGAGCAGGTACATAAATGCAAGAATGAATTGGTTTGGGCCTATTCTATCATACTGGGTATAAATCATATATTCTGACATTTTTCCTTCTCAATTTTGCTTTAGCTTAAAAGTTTACATTCGTGTTGTCCACATTTTCACCAAAGTTTTTGACAATGCTATTAAAATGCAACAAAATCCTATTGAAATAGTTGACTCGCAAACTACCTTTTCCCATAAATTAACTTTCAAATGAACATTTTGCTCTTAAATGGGAATTTTCTCAATGATTTTGAGGAAATATGACATTCTACATGTAAATATTTATGCAACGCTATTGTTCAAAGGGATCTGAAAACCCCAGAGAAGTACTAATAGTAAGCTTTAATAACTGGTCATTTTTTTGTAGCTACCTCCTAG